TCAAAAAATTCTGGAAATTTCAAATTTCTGGAAAATACGAAAATTTCAAAAAATCCCAAAATTGCAAATTTCCAAAAATCCTAAAATTCCAAAAAATATCGAAATTTAAAAATTCTATAATTCGAAATTTCGTTTTTTTTTAAATTTCGAAATTCTGAACGTCTGAACTTCCGAATTTCTGAATTTCTTTTTTTTTCCAAAAATCCTAAAACCCAAAAAAGATTCTTTTCTCACCGATTTCCGTCCGTGTCAAAACGACTACTCTTATAAACCTATCTCTCATTCTCCTCCTTTTCATTTCCAATTTCACGACACCGACGCCATATTCCCCTTCTTCTTCTACTTCGTTTTCCACCCCAATTTTTCTCAATTTCCATGTACTACATACATATGTCATGTATATAATATGTGTTGTGTCTTCTATTTTCTCGAAATTCTTTCTTCTCGGTTTTTTTATTCTTGCTCTTCTTGCTCTATTTCTCTTGGAATTTAGTAGTAAAATGTATGGGTTCGAAAGTTTCAAAGTTTCAAAAATAACAATTTGTCAACAACTTTTTTATATCTTTAACAGGACGTTTTGAAAATACTGTAACACTGAAAATGGACAAGTTTCTAGGCAATAAAATATTTTGAGATTATGGGATTTCGGGATTATAGGATTCTGAGATTCTGATATTTTGAGATTTTGAGACTCTGAGATTCTGAGATTCTGAGATTCTGAGATTCTGAGATTCTGAGATTCTGAGATTCCGAGATTATGAGATTCTGAAATTCTGAGATTCTGATATTTTGAGATTTTGAGACTCTGAGATTCTGAGATTCTGAGATTCTGAGATTCTGAAATTCTGAGAATCTGAGATTCTGAGATTCCGAGATTCTGGGATTCTAAATTCTGAGAATCTGAGATTCTGAGATTCTGAGATTCTAAGATTCTGAGATTCTGAGATTCTGAGATTCTGAAATTCTGAGATTCTGAGATTCTGAGATTCTGAGATTCCGAGATTCTGGGATTCTGAAATTCTGAGAATCTGAGATTCTGAGATTCTGAGATTCTAAGATTCTGAGATTCTGAGATTCTGAGATTCTGAAATTCTGAGATTCTGAGATTCTGAGATTCTGAGATTCCGAGATTCTGAGATTCTGAGATTCTGAGATTCTGAGATTCTGAGATTCCGATATTCTGAGATTCTGAGATTCTGATGTTTTGAGTTGTTGAGATTCAAGAATCCAGAAATTCCGGAACATGACAAAGTTCTCATACTCTGATTTTTCTGGAGATTCTGAGATACTGAACATTCCGAAACTTCCAAATTATTAGATTCAATATTCCCCAATTCCCCACTTCTTCTTCTCCCTTCAAAAGTCCTCTTCTCCTTCTCCTTCTTATTCTTTTCACAACTGGATACACATACGAATTAATCTCCTTCTCTTTCCCTCACCTATTGCCATCCATTCAACTCATATCTCCTTTTTCTTCTTCCTTTAATCTCCACCCACTTTTTTTGTTCTAAACTAGACAGAGAAAATGGAAAAAATCAATTTTCACATTTTTTCTTATTTTCATCGGAAACGCAGACAGCTAGAGGGTCTCGTTGTCTCCGTCTCTTCAAATCTCAATTAGATTCTTTGAATTCCAGAAAAAGAACCAGCTTTCTAGCTCGTTATTGCGCCGAGATACATAGCTCTGAAGAGACGCAGACAATTAGAGTGTATCGTCGTCTGCGCTCTCTCGCTTTTCGACCAAGAGAGAGGGAGAGAGAGAGAGAGAAACGCTGAGAAAAAGGAATTGCTCATATTGCGTGCTCTTTGACTCTCAATTCATTCTTTTCTCACCCAAAAAAACATTCGAAGGCGACGAGACTCTTCTTCCTTTTTTCTCTGCGTCTCTCGATTTTCAATAATCTCTCGCCAGCAAAGAGCACGAGCACTTCGTTTTTTTTGCTGATTTCCTATCTGTCATCACCCTCATCGCATAATTGATTTTCGCCCTTGGGAGGAAGGATTGGAAGATTTTGAAACTTAATTTCTGAATTTCTGAATATCTGAATTTCTGAATATCTGAATTTCTGAATATCTGAATTTCTGAATTTCTGAATTTCTGAATTTCTGAATTTCTGAATTTCTGAATTTCTGAATTTCTGAATTTCTGAATTTCTGAATTTCTGAATTTCTGAATTTCTGAATTTCTGAATATCTGAATTTCTGAATATCTGAATTTCTGAATTTCTGAATATCTGAATTTCTGAATTTCTGAAAATTCCCAATGACAAGAAATCCGAAATTCCATTTTTTCCGATAAATTGGAATTTCATAATTTTTGAAAACCCCGAAATTCTCAACTTTCTGGGCCCTCTCCTATTTTCGCAATTTTTCGATTTCCGCTTTTTGAAATTTTCCTGAAATATCACATTTTCAGAACCAACAAAAATGGATCCAGAAACCCTAAAAAGTTTCGGATCAATGGTGTGTGGACGTGTGGAAACGGGACCGGTCCGTTTCGCAGATTTGGAACCAGAAACTCCGATTGTTCAAAAATCTCAAAATCCAGCAAAATCCAAATCAGATTCTGAAGCTCTGGATCTCACCAAATCCAAATCACTGATTGCTGATCTTTTGAAGCCAGGATCCACAGAATCCCGATCTCCAAGCTATGAATCTGATGACTCTGAATTTACGGATTACGGTAGTGATGAGGAATCGGATTCAGAGATTTTAAAGCGAGTGGAAGCGGCGAAAGAGGCTGAGAATCTGAAGAAGAATTTGAAGAGAATGATGGAGGATGAGGGAAAGATGAATAAGAAAAATGAGGAAACGCAGAAGAAGAATTCACTGGAGCCAAGGAAGAAGAGGAGAATTTTGAGGTATTTGGGATTTTTCGATTCTCAAAATTCTAACAAAATCTGAAATTTCAGCCACGATGACATCTGTAGAATGAGCTACTCACTCCAGCTACCGCTTTACGAGACATTCTGGCAACCGGAACGGGATATTAGTAAGATTTGTTTGAACTTTTTGTAGAATTTCCAGTTTTTTCGGAATTTCTGAAGGTTCCATATTTATCAAAATTTCAAAACCGCTTGAAAAAAAGTACAGTAATTCGAAAAACTGAAAGAATATTCATTCGGAAAATTTGATTTCAAATTTTAGCCATTTTTCTGGGACTTTGGGAATTTCTTGAGCGAATTCCCCGGTATGACTTCCATTCGGTCGGGAAACTCAGCCGACCAACCGACCCCGCCGACCGAACTGACCGCGCCGACCGTTTTCGTGCATTTGCGCGTCAACGTGTTTGCATACGCTGCATTGTATTTTACGACAAACCACTCACTAAATGCGTCGTTTGTCGTAAAATGAAATGCTTTGTACTCAAAATTTCGTGTTGTGGTCGACGATTTGGACCGACCGAAATGGAGGCCTCATGCCCTAGTTCCTGAATTTTCAGAACTTTTTTTGAAAGCTTGGGATTTCTCAAAAAGTAGGATTTTGAGAGTTTGGGATTTTTTGGAATTTCTGAATTTCTGAATTTCTGAATTTTTGAATTTCTGAATTTCTGAATTTCTGAATTTCTGAATTTTTGAATTTCTGATTTTCTGAATTTTTGAATTTCTGAATTTCTGAATTTCTGAATTTCTGAATTTCTAAATTTCTGAATTTCTGAATTTCTGAATTTCTAAATTTTTGAATTTCTGAATTTTTGAATTTCTGAATTTCTGAATTTCTGAATTTCTGAATTTCTGAATTTTTGAATTTCTGAATTTCTGAATTTCTTAATCTTTTAATTATTCTTCAATTTTCAATTTCTAGGTACCATGAGAAAATTAGCCAAGGCAGCTCATGTGATGACGGAGCTAAGTCGTACCATAGGAGATGATTACACAATGGTGACACCGAAAAACAAAGATTCTCCAGTTTATTTCAATTTCGGAGACACACCAATTATGTACAATGCGTCGGATCTTCCAAAAGAAATCGAGCCGTTGAAGATGAATGAAAAGGAGTGTAGAGGTGAGACTTGATTGGAGGAGATTTTGGAAAATTTTGGAAATTTCGCAACTTCGAAAATTCTAGTAAATTGAAAATTCTGAAATTTGAAAATCCGGAAATCCTGATATTCCGAAAATTCCAAATCTCTAAAAATACGTTTCCAGCCCAATACGAAAAAGACAAGAAGCGCTACGAAGCGGACCAGAAGATTCTCGAAGCTCAACAAGCTCAACTACATCAAGCCGCTGCTACATTCATGGCTGAAGCCATGAAATCCGGTGGACTAGAGAGTAAGAATTACAGTAATCCCAAAACTACAGTAACCCAAAATTTTCCAGATTATATGAGAGCGTTGGATGATAATCAGAAGCAGTTCATGCACACCGTTTTCACTACGTGAGTTGATTTTTTTGAAATAAAAAAAAGTCAGAAATTCAGAAATTCGGAAATTAGGAAATTCAGAAATTCAGAAATTCAGAAATTCAGAAATTCAGAAATTCAGAAATTCAGAAATTCAGAAATTCAGAAATTCAGAAATTCAGAAATTCAGAAATTCAGAAGTTCATAAATTCAGAAATTCAGAAATTCAGATATTCAGAAATTCAAAAATTCAGAGATCCAGAAATTCAGAAATTCAGAAATTCAGATATTCAGAAATCCAGAAATTCAGAAATTCAAAAATTCAGAAATTCATAAAATTCAGAAATTCGGAAATTAAGAAAGTCAGAAATTCAGAAATTCAGAAATTCGGAAATTCAGAAATCCAGAAATGCAGAAATTCAAAAATTCAGAAATTCAAAAATTCAGAATTTCAGAAATCCAGAAATTCAGAAATTCAAAAAATTAGAACGTCAAAAATTCAGAAATTTAGAAATTCAGAAATTCAGAAATCCAGAAATTCAGAAATTCAGAAATTCAGAAATTCAGAAAATTCAGAAATTCAGAAATTCAGAAATTCAGAAATTCAGGAATTCTGAAATTCAGAAATTCGGAAATTCAGAAATTCAGAAATTCAGAAATTCAGAAATTCAGGAATTCAGAAATTCAGAAATTCGGAAATTCAGAAATTCAGAAATTCAAAAATTCAGAAATTTAGAAATTCATAAAATTCAGAAATTCAGAAATTCAGAAATTCAGAAATTCAGGAATTCAGAAATTCAGAAATTCGGAAATTCAGAAATTCAGAAATTCAAAAATTCGGAAATTCAGGAATTCAGAAATTCAGAAATTCGGAAATTCAGAAATTCAGAAATTCAAAAATTCAGAAATTTAGAAATTCATAAAATTCAGAAATTCAGAAATTCAGAAATTCAGAAATTCAGGAATTCAGAAATTCAGAAATTCGGAAATTCAGAAATTCAGAAATTCAAAAATTCAGAAATTCAGGAATTCAGAAATTCAGAAATTCAGAAATTTAGAAATTCAGAAATTCAGAAATTCAGAAATTCAGAAATTCAGAAATTCAGAAATTCAGAAATTCAGAAATTCAGAAATTCAGAAATTCAGAAATTCAGAAATTCAGGAATTCAGAAATTCAGAAATTCAGAAATTCGGAAATTCAGAAATTCAGAAATTCAGAAATCCAGAAATTCAGAAATTAAGAAATTCAGAAATTCATAAAATTCA